TGTGTAACAGGAGAGACACTGGCCTGCTAACATCACAAAAATCTAAGGCCTGGCACATTCCACTGTATAAATAACTAGAGAGAGTTGGTGGAGGAGGGGGGCGGGACCCAGAGACATTTTCAAAGGGGTAAAGAGAGAGAGAACAGGGTGGCAGTATCACTGAGTGATGGGACAGCTGTAAACTATGCACATGGTAAAGCAGTAGAGAGCTGAATCAAACCGAAGGTTAAAGTGAGGAGTCATAGGAAAACTAAGATCTCATTTACAGACCTCCTGAGAAGGTCTGAAGAAAGTTAACAGGACTATAGCTAACACTGAGGGGCTACCACTGTTGCAGATATTCAGCATATACATCTTTTATGTTGCATAAAATCACATGATCTGTCTAACCTCATCATTTGATCATCATTTTGATTGTACCACAACACAAAACATATATGATCACAGGAGGAGTATGATTAATAAGTGTTCATTTAAACAAATGTACGGTATAATTATTGTATTTATATTACAGGCTTATTATCTACACTTTCTAATCTGATAGTTTAATTAAATAATCACTTGCATTAACTATATAATATGTGACTTACTGTGTAGTAAGTTAAAAACAATATAATTGTCAAAGAAAAACTCAGTTATTGTCATATAAGTACACTGATATGGTGCCTCAGCCATGTAAACCAGGCAATCATTTTTACGTTGTCATATTTGATGGTCTTTTATGTGGACATTGTCCAAGCATTCAATATTTATACAGTAAAGGAAATGTAATATATTGTGGTTTCTTACTGCCCACACTAAAAGGATTCCATCTCATCAAATTGTCCAGTCTGCAGACATCACCATTTTTTTAGTGCCTAGTTTAGGCTTGGTCAAATTGTCTTGACTTAGCTTAAAATCAGCAGGGATGGTTATGTAAGCACCCAGTTTGTTTTTCTACAGCATTAGAGCATGTTACCATTTGCCAAAAAATTACTCCTGTTACATGGAGTGAACTGTATTCAGCAGTGGCAGGAGCTTTGTAGTTATTTACATATGGATTATTATGCCATGCACATATACCCTCTCAGCCAGAAAAAGTAGTTCTAAATTCAAGTGTGAGTCTGCACTACACATTCACACTGAGCACTGCAGAACAATGACAAAGTGCCTGGGCTGATATATGAAAGACATATTTGTGGAGCTGGAATGTCATTTTTCAAAGCAGCCAAGGTGGTCCAAGAAGTCACATGGGCTGAATTTAGATCAGTGCTGGAAATCAGAAAAAGCATAAAAAGATGTATTGTCGATCAGAACACGGATCTTTGAACAGAGAGCTGCACTGGCCTTCTGACCATCCTTGGCTAGACATTGAGTAATCTGACTGTAATACACTCTCAGAGCCTCAATTTGGCTGAGTGTGTCAAGTGTTGTATAAAGAACGATTCATTTTCAGTGACTCTGCATAAATGGTGGCAATCTAATCAACTTTCTCTGCATATTGCTGCTGCATAGACCTCATAGGTAGAAATCCCAATCTCATAAAAAAAAAACAACTGTTGAGTCTTCATGAGCAAATAAAAATCATTTGGGTTATAGCTGAAAAATTTGATGACTCATTGTGGATGAATACCTAAAGGTCATACTTACAGTGTGTAAAATGTCTGCTAATGTAATGATACAACTTGCTTAGTGCAAAGTAATTCATGTATCACATTTTATATACATACCATAGGTTAAATACTCTATAGCTATAGACAAAAACAATATCTGTGAATATACATTTTGTGGTGCAAATAAAATTCTTTCAGATAGAGTTTATTGTATATTTAAATGCACTATCTGTATATATGCAGTAAACGTTTGGATATTTGATGATGTGTGTTCAGACCCTGTATGCATTTTGTTTCCTCTGTTGTATCTCTTTTTGGAGCAACATCACTTAAACTAGCTAATAACTGAGATATTAATTAGGATGATCATTTTATATACAGTAGCAGTTACTGAAGCAGGAGGTTAGACAGGCCTACATTATGGGAGCTGGATCTTTTGGATCACTAAGACATGCTGGGTAACTTTCATGAAAGTTACCTTAAATGAACTACTAAAGGTTTTCTAGTCCTTCCTGTGAATTAAAGGCTACTTAGTTTTCTCAAATAGATTAGGCTTATAAATACCTGAAGCAAATTGTTCAGTGTGTTTGAGTACTTCCTCATACTACTAGGAATGATGCAAAATCATTCTCTAAATACCTTGAATTAGATAACCAGTCTTAGTGCAAGTAAAACTCAAACACATCAGCTTATATTACCTTCACCCAGATCCAAGACGGCCAGTACAGCGCTGCTCCGAGCCTCTCCCAGGTGATTATTGGCAATGCAGGTATAGAGACCAGCATCACTGGGTTTACAGTCCCTAATCCACAGCCCTCCATATTCCTGGTTCTCCATGTTAAGGAGGTCATCATTGTGGTACCAGTACAGGGATGGCTGAGGGTCTCCAGTCACAGTCACCTTGAGACGGATATCACAGCCTGTACCTACGGCAGCGTTCCTCATTTTGCGGATAAAAACGGGTGGAGCTGGGACAGGATAACCAGGCCCTCGATGTTCTGGGACAATTTGCTCTAAGCTTGTTTTGGACCGTTTTGGGGGGATGATGGGGCTTGAGGGTGCCACTGCATCATCTGCCCCTTTTTTCAGGGTCATTTGCACCTCTGCTTTTCTCATGATTGAACTGAATTGGTAGGCTCTATTGGATTTTCAAACTGACTAACTAAACTGTATGACAGTGTAACTGGAGCACTGACTGGGCCCTTTGTAATATTCTAAACTGAAATTCACTCAGGGCATTAGTCTACAGACTATAGTCCTTACATAGTGATTACAGTTAACAAAGTTCTCACATTTTTGCATAAAGGATTTTTATTTAGTTTTTACTATTAAGTAATGTAAAGTATTCATAAGCATATCTGTCATGTTGTTAATTTAGCTAAAATTGCTGTTATCTAACCTCAGTTGTTGTTAAAACAAGAAAAAGAAAATGTTGATTACCAGATAGAGATAGTTACCACTCTCCTGGCCAGAGGTATTTTTAGGGTAAGAGCCACTAGATCATGTTGCATTAAGAGCTCCCTTGACTTGTCTGTTGGAGGTGACTGCACAGCTTTTCTTCTGTCTTTTCCTGGTGATCGCTGAATTTTCAGCCTTTTGTAACCATCTCCCAGTAATGTTACTTCTCTGCAGATCAAGTCTGTGAGTCTTCAATAAGGTTCCATTTACTCCCAGAGGCCTTCAAGCTTGTTCTTGCTTTACTTCTGATTGAATACAAGCCTCAAGTCCTGCCCAGCAAGTTGCACAGTGTCCCCATCCTTGTCCCATGAGCTAAGTCATCCCACTCATGATCTCCCCCTGCCTGCCAGTTCAAAGGGGGAAATGGCAGTCACGGCTCAGCAAGCCTTACAACGACAGCTGCATGGTGATCGGTCTGTTCACTCATTACTAGTTTCCCGCCCCTTGTCATTTTTAGCCAACCTGAGGTCAGTAGAACATGAGAGACGGAGGAAACGCTTGGCACAAAGGAGGGGGTGGTCGATACGGTACAGACATTTAATTTGTAGGTCAGATATTTGACAGCTTGTTTCACCATCTGCGAACTAACCACAACACAGAAAATGAAGAATATGAAAAGCTTTGCCCGTCAACATACCAGCACATAAACACACTCACAAACTTTAGTGGAATTATTGCATAAGTGATTCTAATATTTGTATATTGTTTCATTTGAATGCTTCAGTTTTAAGTAAATATATATGAGCTGTTTTCTTAAAATGTTTCCATTAATATCATTAGTAAGCAACAATTAATATGCTATTAACAAGACCTAGTAAAATATTGTCTGGTTATTGCCACTGACAAATCATATCTGACTAAGAGATCAATATTTAACTCCTGCCTTTTTAGACCATTTGACCCATTTGAGGACAAGTCTAAAACCTGTTGTCATAAGTTATTTATGAGTTTGGGAAGATCTGACTTACATAATCTTAACAACTAAAACAGTCTTCACCTTTGTAGATAGTATGAAGAGTTTGAACACTGGTCGATGTTTTTACTTGGCAGATCAAATTCTTAATAGGACACATGGGCCGTCTCTCGAAGTTCTCATTCAACAGGTGGTTCCGTTCGGCAGAGACAACGTCCTTGTCAATGCTGAAAAGCTCACATGCAGCATGGTAAAATAATTATAAAATCTTTTTATGATGCTAAATTGTTTGTAGTTTCAGTAGTTAGGTACACAGGAAATGGCAAAAAGTTGAATCACTATGCAAATATAAATGCAGATACCAACAAGCTACTGCAAAATGTAGTTAAACTACTAGTTTCATTTGCCTTCTGCCCTACACTGCTGACAAGTCCCTGCCAAACGACACAAAGTCTATGCATTAGCCACAGTGACTTGGAAACGTTTGATACATTTTTTCCACAAATGCATTTTTGTGGAAAATACTGTTGTCTGTCAATTTACATTATAACTATATTTCAGAGTCTATCCCTCATCACTTTCATCCTGTAAACTATTTATAAAATGCTTCATACTTGAGAGGTAGGTAGGTTAAAGTGCACCACTGTTTGATCTTTGTCAGGTAACACAACATACAAGAAAACATTATGTTAAATTAACCTGCTCTGATTTGTGGGATGCAATAAAACCCTAAGCTAGAATGTAAACACTAACCTTGTCGTATTACCAAAATATGTTTCTTCTGCTTTTTTAATAAGCACTGTTCTCTCTCAGTCGATTTTACTTGGAAGAGATTATTTCGTAATCAAACAGCAACTTTTTTTTTTGTACAGAGGCAGAATATCAGTTATTGCTGCTGCATTTGACTCCCAGCTGCTGTAGCTATAAATATAAAACTTGCTGGATTAGGGCAATTAAGTCTTCTATCAGTTGTTGATATCAAATATAAAAGCCTTTTCAACAAATGAGGTGACTCAGAAACAGAGAAGGATGCTTATAAAAAGATTTAATGCTGATTTCAACTCTACAGACAGGCTACCTCAGATTATTAGGCATGGGAATAACAACTGTTTTCAGATAAATATACATAAAACTCAGACAGTATTACAAAAATATGAATACATAACTATAAAAACCTTATCCAACACTGTACACTATATATATTTATGTGGCTGATACAGTTATAGAACAATCTTAACTGGGAATAAAATTTTATTTTAAAGGATAGTGATATTGTTGGAAAATTGAATGACAGAAAAACATCTTGATAATTCACATTTGCTTGACATCAGCCAGATATTTCACCATATAACACTGAAATTACTCAACTCAAGGTATAATTCTCGTTTTTTTAGAACTTTCAGCTCCACCTCAAGATGTGCATCAGGAGCTGTGTTGAAATGTAGCCACACTTGAAACTAAAACATGATGCTGCCCACAGCTTCCTCAATACTAGACATGACTGAGGTAAGATAGGGGATATAATGCCTAACCACAAAAAAAATAAAAAATAAAATGTTTACAGCTTAACTTTAAGCAGCATTTCCCTGGTGCTTGCTGGATTGGAACCAAAGCCAAGTTAAATAAATGATAAGAGCAAAGTATACATATTTACAAATCTAACTAAATGTTCATGGCAACTTTAAGGCAAATTTTATACTTTTTTTTCATATGTATGAAATTAAAAATCCACCAAATATGAGATGTGATAAAAATGCTGATAACTATGAAAACAAGTAATCTGTTGTCCAACACTTGAGATCCTACAGTGATTTATTCAATTTATGTGAAAAGTATATAGCAGGGGTTTTCAAACAGTGGTTGGCGGCCCCCTGGTGGTCCGCGAAGGCACTTTATGGTGGTTTCTGACCATGTATTCAATAATGTAGTTTCACTGTAGGAATCTTTTATTACTATTATCATTTAAACACATTTTAATCTTAAAGTATCCCTTTGGTGGTCTCACATGAATGTAGATGTTATTTCTGATGACAGTGAAGACCTGCTGCTTCTTGACACTGATGTTCTGTCTAAGATACCTGTCTTCCTCATTATCTGAAACAGCTTTTTCCTGAACTTCTCTCCCACGAAGGCATACAGCACTGGGTTGACACAGCTGTGGAGTAGGCCCAAACTCTGGGTGGCAAACATGGCCTGATCCACTGCCATCCTTGCTGGGCACTGGTAGGGCACTATCTTTGTCCTGAAAAATGTATCTACTATCACTGCAAGATGGTATGGTGTCCAGCAAAGCAGAAAGGCAACCACCACAAACACAATCACTCTCATGGCTCGTTGCCGTTGAAACCCCCCACGGATGTGAAGAAGGCGCTTGATGGTTACTCCATAACAGGGTAGCATGATGGCCAACGGAATAACAAAACCTAAAGTGTGGCGAAGAATTCTGGTGGCCAGCCGCCACTCATCCGCACTGCTGGCATCATATAGTTCAGAACACACAATGTGACTACCGTTTATAGATGAGTAGGCCGAACTGAAGAGTCCTGGCAGAGACAGAAGGGCTCCAACAGACCAGACAGCAGCACAAACTACCCAGCTAATAAACTGCCGGTTAGCCCTGCGAGCCTCCATAGCTCGCACAATCACCATGTAACGGTCCATACTGATGCAAGTCAGGAAGAGTATGCTAGAGTAGAAGCTCAGCTCTTGGAGGATGGTGACAATTTTACACAAGGCATCTCCAAACATCCAGCCCTGTGTAAGAGAGACAGCCCAGAATGGGAGAGTAATGGCCAGCAGGATGTCGGCAACTGCCAGGTGGAAGAGGTAGAGGTCAGAGGGAGGCAGCGCTTGCTTGCTACAGCCAATCACCAGCCCCACGACCAGATTTCCAGGAATTGCCAACACAAAGATGAGGATATAAAACGCACTGACAACAGCCGTCACTGCATCTGGGATGGGAAAGGATGTGCACGGCTGTGTGTCAGGGTTTATAAAGAACTCAGAGTAATTATAAGTAAAGTTGAGGTCATCATAAATAGCACCAAAGTCAAGCATATTAGAGGTGTTTGGATCTGAGGACAAAAATCAAGATTAAATGTTAGACATACAAAATACATCTAATGATTAAAAACCTGTTTGTATAGGTCTAATTACATTAACTTGGAACAGAAAATATGACAGCTTCTTTATGGGACAAGTATTTTACACTCACTTTTACTGTTTTCAAAGAAATAATATCAAAAGGAACAATTACAAAACGTTTCCATCAGGACATCAAATTTTATAAACAGCTATAAATGGTCCAATTGCCATATGCTATAAATATGTGTATTTAATAAGTAAATAGGTCTATATTTTTTCCAAGGGATGAAACTACTCACCATTCATGGTGTTGTCTTCTTTCCGTCAAGCACTGAGTGTGTCACAAGGAGACAAGGAGCAAAATACTGGACTAATCACAACTCCTCCCATCACCATAGGCTCATTTTTCTGTTTGCCTCATATACCTGCTGACTTGCTCAAGAATTCAAGCAGGAAGTTAAGGTTTCCCATATATGAAAACAAATGTATCATCTCTTTCTCATTTTGTTGGAAGTTGTATTTATGGTCACCAATGTAGGCCCGATACTTTTAATGGTACATTTGTATATTAGTTTTAGTTTTCATTGTTTTCTGCTTATGCTAAAGGTTTGTTTATACATGATTGCTATTTTTAATAGCTGTTGCCTGGTTATTCCTAAACCACATTGCTTCCCCGTCAAAGTCACATTAGGCTATCTGAATCATTGGTGTCATGAGATGTGCTGTCACACTGTGAGCAGAATTGAAAGAGAAAGCATTAGTTCACGTGAGGTTGGTAAATTCAAAATAAACACTGTATAAATAATCAATAGATATTCAGAGAGATGCTGTGTGTATTAAAACTGGTAAAACAAACAAAAAAAAAACTGCTGCTGTGATGTTTCTACCTGTTCCCTGGTTTTGTAACATATCCTGTTTGATTCCCATTATTTATAAATAAATTTATCCAGAAGAAAAATGCAGAATTCTTATGCTTTTTGGAAAATCCAAATCAATAGTGTATTTTAAATAATTAAACCCACAACAGGCTGAAACCTCCATGTGGACCTCTATCAAGCTACAGTCAAATTGAAATACCCTACGTACGCCACATGGTGTGACTACAGTTCTGGTTGACTACTGCTTTTGAGAGGAAGTTCCCAGCTCATGACATGCACCTGTGTTGACACAAGTGACTAGCATCACACTTCCTGAGACACTTCTTGTGTTTCAAATTTCAGTGTCACAAGTCCTGCAATTTGATCATAAATGGAAAAGAAAGTAAACATGTTTTGAACACAGGGTTTAGGGCCATGCGTAACTAAAATGACACAACCACACATCACATGGGAACTGGGTTTTTGACAACTTCAGACAGAAACTGTCCAATAAGCCTATTTTATGTACATAGATGAGAACAGTATGGCAGATGGTCTCTAATCAATCCTGCTTGGCCATTTCTACATCCTGTGGAACCTTTAAAACCATTTTATTAGTTAACAGGTCCATTTGTGTAATTTGAAAAGCATTGTTACCCTTTTGGACACTAAACAAGTAGAAAGTGTGGGTGTCTCACACGTGGCCATAATTTTTAGGTGCTTGGTGCAAACGAAGGATGTGACAAAACATGGGCATGTTACATGCAACGCATTGCTTCAAAACGGAAGCCTTAACACAAAGTTCAGCTTATGAAAGTACAGGAGTCAAACGTTCAAACACACCTTCTCATCCAGCGACTTTTCTTTGATTTTATTTAGTACATTGTAGATTAATACTGAAGATATTAAAACTGTGACATACAGAATTATATAGTAAGCAAAAAAAAGGTTAAAGCTAAATGTTTCATATTTTAGATTCTTCAAAGTAGCCATTGTTTGATAAATGACAGCTTTGTACACTGTTGGCAGTATCTTAAATAGTTCTAGACCTTCCATCTGGTTTGTGCTTAGTGTGACAATCATGTTTTTAAACAGGACAATACCCCAGAACACAGCTTCAGGCTGTGTATGTGCTCTCTGACACTCAGTGGCAGCAATGGGTATAACATTAGATGACCTGACATTATCACATTTCCATTGTATTCAGTGTCAATACACAATGTAAAAAAAAAAAAAGTCACTGAAAAAAAAGAAAAATCAGTGAATGAGAAGATGTGATTTACTACATTAAAAAAACCCAGTCAAAAGGTACAACCATCCCACTTCTCACAGTGGAACTAGATGGTACTGCAGAAGCAAATCATTACTTCAGACTTGATATGTTATATTTACTAGTGATAGGACAGAGCACTAAAGGTGGTAATGCCAGTTTAAACTATTGTCAAACCCTCACACAAGGGTTTGCTTATGGTGCTGTTGGTCCTTGTGGCAAACTGTATGAATCCAAGGAAAAGGTAACAATCAGTCAAAACCAATGCGAGCCAAACCACTATCCAAGGCAATATTAAACCAGCTGTGCAGCATGATATACTTTTTATTAACTTAGCTCTCAAACTACAGAAAATGATGTGGCAGCAAAATGACTAAAATGTATTCGGTGAACCATTTTCCTAGTATTTGTGGTCCCGCCTCACTGATAGAACAACTGATGGCAAACAAGCGTCTTACAAAACAAAGGTTTAACAATCTATCATTAAAAACTCTAACGTAACACCTTTCCTTTCACACACACTCACTTGGGATAAAGTTTAGGAGAGGAAGACCCTTTGAAGGATTTTGTGTATGTGTGTGTGCACGCACTCAGTCCAAGAACTCGTTTTTAATCAACTTAAGGCCTCTTCCACTAAAAAGCAGAAACTGATCTCCTGATTTAAATGACAGCCAACTTCGGCCTAACATAAATTAAGAGAAGAAAGTGCTTCAAGTGTTCAAGTAGGGTGTAGTTCAAAAAGACATAACAGGGTTGGGGGTGGGATGGTGTGTGTGGGGGAAGTAACACTGGCACAAAACAGGCAATTGACCAAGATTTAGGGGACACCGGTGTTAAGACACAGAAGGCTGACCACAACTCAACCAGGCTCAACTATGTAAGTAGTCCTGCCAGTGCATCAGGTGGCAGATCACACTCGCACTGTGCTGCCTACTGAGAGCCCTATGCATGACAAACACATTTGACTTTGTAAGCCTCAATAAAAATTATGCAAATAGTCTAATTTAATTCATTATTTTGAAAGCCAAACTAGGCTGTGATCAAGAAGGCTCAGAAAGGCGAAAAAGGGGATGAGGGAAATGTAAAAGCCCATAATTTTCCCCACAAAATGGATTTCATCTTTTAGCACGGCGCGGGTCCCTGCCATTGCTAATGGTAACCGAGGACTTTGCAGCTGTTGAGGATCCAGAGAGAGTAACAGGAGCTGCTCCATTGCCCGGTGACCGACCATTCGGTCGCCCAGCATTTCCAAATGTAGAGTCACGGGGTGCACCAGGTGGTGGGTTGTTGGCAAATGGCGGCATGGCACCATTACCTGGGAGGTTAGAAATACAAGTCAGCCCTCCAATAAAAACAGGCATCTTAAAGACATCTCATCACTCGTAGTTCTTTTCCCATACAAGACATTTTGACAGGGAACAAAAAGAAAAGGACACGTGCAAATAAAATGAATCCCATAAAAATGAATCATCTATATCCCATTTCCCATTTAGCTCCTTTAATATCAGGGTTCTGGGTGTATATTGTGCATGCTGGCTCACTGGGACACACCCTTACAGAAGACATGTTTTAAACTTATGACTGGTCAAAATGTCTGCAATAATGCCTCCTATTCCCTAAACACATTAAGTCAAGATATGAGCAATGTCTCTTTTCCGATTTAATTAAGCGAATAAAAACTATGGTACTATTCTGTACTGCCTATAGCATATATCCACTTCATCCGTGTCAAATATATTATGCATACCCCAGTCATCCAGATTTGTTTTTCTGTAGTGCTGACAGCTACATCAACAGTCTACAGTGATTCTGTACAGACACCATCAATGTGTATTATTCTACAGAACCTTCCCAAGTCTTCCGTTTCCTTTAAGTCAGTTAACTGCTAGTGCAGTGGTTGTCTGCATAAAAAAAAAAAAAAATAAATATACTGACCAAGTGGGGCAGGGGTACCTGAATTTTGATTGGGCGGAGAGTTTCCCCTCTGGTTCTGGTCTGGTTTGCCCTATTAAAATAGTGGAACAGAACATTAGCTTTAACACTACTACCTCGGATGTTGAACAGGTCAAATTACATGACATTTTAGAATAGGACATTGAAATGATCATGTCTGAAAGACGTCTTAATACTGTAAAGTAACATGGCCAAGGAAGGATACTAGTTAAACTAATTTTTTTAAGAATATTCTAATCCAAATGTTATGATGCGTTTGTGGGTGCATGGCTACTCACAGACTTGTTTTGTTGGTTTGCCTGAGTTAGCAGCTCAGGGTTTGGTTCACTAAAATTGGGCACTTCTGAATACACCATACAGAACCTGAGGGAGACACAATGCATGATTTAACAATTATACACACACATTATTATTCTATTATTTCTATTTGGAAACAATAGTCATTCTTTAGTTCTTTGGGATGTAAGGCTATGCTTTATGCTAAAAGAGAAATACATGCAGATTATTTCCCCTTTTTGGGAGTGAGTGGGCGTGATCTGAGAGGAGTGGGATGCAATCCGAGTTGAGTGCTGAGCGATAATGAGTGTAGCGGCCTGGTGTGGCTTTGAGCGGAGCGGGCAAACAGCTCCATGAGCAAGGAGTGGAAATTCTCCCCACTCTACTCCGCTCATATACTTTGATATTAAATGAAGTGCTGGGTCAGCTGGTTTGACCAGTAGGCTTAAATGTTTCACAAGACTCAGATGTGAACTCTAAAATCAAAAAGGAAAAACATTAAGACTTGCTGCTCACCAATAGTGATTCCAATAGTGACAATAACTTTACTCACTCTCCAATCTTCTGCAAATCCCCTCCTCTTCCAGTGTATAGGGTTAGGCAGCCTTTCCATATGGACGCGTAGCTAACACAGAAATCACATATTAAAACTTGTGTAAAAAGATTACAAATGTTAATACAAAATTTCAAAACCAAGCTGCTCAAATACACAACCACTTGCCACCTTCAAGCTCTTTCAGTAAAAAGTACAAATTTAAAATCAGCTGAACAAAGTAGGCTTTTGTTCAGGTCATTTGTCTAAGCTTAGGAACTATTCTACCCTCTGGTCAGCTTGATGATGTCCCCTGGCTGAATAAGGCTGCCGAGTTCATCCCAAACAGAGATAGCAATGCTCCCACTCTTGTCTGCCACCTTGCATGAGCGCACCTCATGACCATCTTTCGTTTTGGTTACTCGTCCTAATGGAAACAAAACAAGGATAGGTTTAACAAAAAGATAAAACGGCACAAAACACTTCAAATTGCTGACATGCAGTTGTAAGGAAATGTCAATCAGTAATCTAAGTCCCTGTTGACGGGAAAGTTTGCTTCAAGTGATGAAAGTTAACATTTCCTCTGTCCCCTTTAAGAAAAAACATACACCTGTGTATGGTGCGGGGATAGACGCTCGGTCCAACTACTTACCTATTTCCAAAACGATGAATACGATATTCAGGTTTTTCGACCCAGGCTTCACATCTTTTATCAAGAACAAAGCATCATTTGTGGGAGTTGCCATTGTCATTCTAGAAGAAAACAACCACTGTTCGTCCCGCTTCCTGTCACTTAACCTCAGCAGCAATTATCGTTACTTTGTAACGGGTAGCTACAATCTTAGCTTTAGCTCGGCTACCTAATTAGCCTGTTAGCCAAATGCTAACTATCCCTACTCCAAACAATGTAGGTTTCACGTTGTCGTCTATAGACACGAGGGCCAGCTACTTAGTCGACTCGACTCAAGTCAAATACTATTAAACGCGTGTGACACTGAAAGAAAGGAGGTGAACGATAACTGCCTCCTTCAAGGCAGCCAACACTGGCCGTGTGACCAAATTTGCTCAATAGCTTTGCAAAGTAATACTTCGCTAAACGTTAGCTTGCGCGCAGTTAGCTACCTTCTTTTAACATCGGGATATGGGTCTCTAGGCATCTCTCTTTCAACGATTGGCGTCATTGTGGCAGTTTCATTCTTCGCATAACATTAACACCGTACTAATGTCGATGGTAAACGCTCAACGAGTTAGTAATACGATGGGCCAAACGTCGAAATTAAATAAACAGTATGAATAAACCTACAAATATAAGCTCGAGATCAAACTGAGAGGTTCCTGCTTTAGCAAAACGCTTAACTAACCCAAGTTAAACAAGCGCCTGAGTATTGTCTGTGTTGCTAAATATTTGGAGGTGCGTTTTTATCTCAGTCACGCGTTTAAACAACTCCAGTTAACGTCAGTATGTTCAACTCAATCGACCGTATTTCCTTTGTGTGCCTCTTTAAAGTATAAAGAAATATTAGCTTTGCTAGCGCGCAATCTGGTCAAACGCTTTGTTATATGAGTAATGTGCCTATATCTAACTTGGCCCGTATAACGTTACAGCTACTCGAAAAGCCTTATATCAAGTGTCCTGTTTGCTTATGCCTAAACAATAGTGAAGCTTAAAACGCTAGTTTAAAACCTGCACAAACTGTTCACTTCTCGCATTTCCCTTCCCCACAATGTCTCCAAAATCTACGTCAGCGAACGCTGCCGGTTTATTTATTTAAGACGGTCAGTTCCATTATCCTGCATAGGGAAGGGGTTTACAAATTGCACTTTTATAGCTATAGCCTGTGTGTGCTTTTATGTAGTTGAATCGGCAGATATTGGCGACTACCAGGTGTCAACAGACGATTACCAGAATACAGTTACAAATGACTGTTTTACAGAAAAGAAGGAAAGTGGTTGGTTTCTACCAAATGGGTTGTAATCACTAACAACGCGAGAATAGGAGAGCGTATATGAGAGGTGACAAATGACAATAATAATGACCGTCTCATAATAGGAGAGCGTGTATGAGAGGTGATAAATGACAATAATAATGACCGTCTCATACACCCATGATGGTGATGGTGTTTTATTTTAACAAGTCATTTTATTCGTTATGTCATCGAGGCTAATTATTACTTTGATCATTAGCTGTCTGATTTATTGCATTTGACCTGAAACACAGTGGAGCGCAAATAGCAGCTTCATAGTTGTCACTGACAAAAAAAGTAGCCTATTAAATTGCATTTAAACCAAATGGTTTCAATTTGTTATGTAGAAACAGGAAAAAAAAGACCGTCACGAACAGGATTCGAACCTGTGCGGGGAAACCCCATTGGATTTCGAGTCCAACGCCTTAACCTCTCGGCCACCGTGACTACATTGCATGCATAGCTCCGCAGATGTCTTTTTAAAAACATACACAACCTGCTAGTCATAGCAAACACCACTGCACTACGACTCAATCACGGAATCTGAGAAGAATATACCCCTTTCCGAAACTTTTAAACTTTGGAATAGCTTTAGAAAGGCAGCATACTGTGGACAACGACATATTTAAGTACCAATAAATGCATAGCCTAATTCAATACTGTAATAAATAAAAGAATAAATAAATAATTTCGTGAACAACGGAATACATGAATGAATCATTTCTGAAATAAATACATACAGTACATTACTCAATGTAAAATTAAAAAAATATAATAAATACATACATTAAAAAAGAGTAATATCATAGCCAAAGGAAAATAGCCTACATAAATGAATACACAAAAATTAATTGATGCATATAATACAATAAATACATGCTAAAACAAATAATACTGATCTAGCTATGAAATTTTTGTTTCTAAAAGTGTTCCCTTAGAATGTAGTTGGTTATGAAAACACTGTAGGATGTTCTCATGATGTTTTAGTGTGGAGTTTTAAAAGGTTCCTAGAATATTTTTTCTGTGGGTATAAGATTGTTAATGTTTTAAAACATTAGCAGCCTAATGTTCTCAAAACATTTCAATTAAAATATTATCCGAATGTCACTTAGTGTCAAAAGAATGTTCCCCTAACATTTCTATCAGGATACAAAAACATTAATAATGTTTCCGTGATGTTTTAAGCATGAACTTTTTAAGAAGTTCCTAGAACATTCTTTCTGTGGGAATAAGAGCATCATATTCCAAAGTTAATAGGTCAAGTTTTATTTAGCACATGTAAATCAGTGGCCCATCATGAGGATAATAACACTATTATTGCCTGTGAAATCCTGCTTTGTACCCCCCACCCCACCCCCAGTGCCTTAATCTGCTCCAGATGGATGCTGTTTGACAAGATCTTGGCTATGCAATATGGTCCAGTTTCAGTATTTCAGCATATAGTAGAAATTTTATGCACCTATTAATTAAGTTTTCCTAGTCTCATCTAAACAAAGCATAACCCAATGCTTCGTTAAATTCAGCTCTCAGTGAAGTAGAACACTGTTCACCATGCACATCATAAATCATGTTCAAGAAGAGCAGCAACAAAAATAAGTAGTTTATCTGATATCAGAAAGAGCAAAGTTAGAAATCCTCTGAAAACATTGGTATCAAAAATGTTATGTTACCTTGTGTTTGTCTGTAGTCTCCCATGGTCTCCTCCATTATATAAGCACACCTTTCTCCATCCACAGGGACCAACCCGATTCTGCTGGCCTGCACCAGTCTTTATCTTGTATGACTAAACAGAGCAGAGTAAGATTAGCCACAGTGACAGACTGGTTCAGATGCAATATACCCCCTGTTTCAGTGTGGATGTTTGTACACCTGCAACAGCTTCACCTTCCACTCCAAGTATGTTTTTAATGGGTTTGTGAGTAAATAGTATTGGTAAGTAGACCCTGTGTTAAGTTTACATTGTCAAACTATTGTCCCAAGCTCAAGAATGGTTTTACACACTTGATATTTAGTCTGATTTAAATGTCTCACAACCAACATATATACTGTTGTGGAAAATATTCCGATTTTTTTCACTTTTATTCTGTTAGTCTGGCTGACTTTCAAAGAGTTATTCACTGGCACCATGAATGGAGAAACTGAATAGTGTCCTTCATCGGCACCTTTGGCCTCAAACCACCATATCTCTGCCCTTCAGTAACTGGGGTTACTAGACATGCTGGTTGGAGATACCACAGAGAGATGTTGACATAAAGAGCTGTTCACATTCAACTCCAGCATCCTGACTACATGCACAAGCAGTGGTGTCTGTAGGTAACATAAAGTGCGGTGCAGGCAGAGTGAATGCTATGTTAAAAAAAAAGAAGAAGAAAAAAGTTCACAGTTGCTTCTTCCCATGTAGGACCCACACACAAACTATACCAACACATTAACCATTACAGACAACATTGAAACTTAGTCTGGTAAAATCTCTAAATTAGATCTGTAAAAAAATGTTGTCAGAAAATCACAGTGTATAGACTTGGACTAGGTCGGATTAAATTCAGTCTGTAGAACATGGCAAGTATCTATATACCGTTAAAAGAAACAAATGTAAATAGTGATGTATGTGTGCATGTCAATAGCCTAGAAACCTGGTGATGTACTGTAGATACACTCAGCTGTCAGTTTATTAAGAAGCCTACACCTGTTTAAATCTAGGGCAGTCTGATCCAACAGTCCTGCAATAAATCCTCCTTCATGAACGTGATAATGTTCAGAGAAGGTAATGTTATGTTCAGTCACAACAGGAGGGATGTTCTTTGATGGTGACAACATTATCACAATGTTTATTTAATTTTTACAGTATTTCTTTAGTCACATTTGTAGAATCTGTTGGAAATGTTAACTGTTATGGGAATGTTCCTAGCTGGGGAAATAAATACAGAAATTAACCAGGACATTGATAAATAAATGACATAGTCTGCAAATGGGATTGAGCATTACACACTGTTCTCTCCAGAACCCTGGCGTCCACTGGGTGTCACTATTTGATGGCAGCAGTGTTCTAGGAGCGCTGGTAGTACCAGGTACTGCACAAAACACAACCAAGCAATTCCACATAGCTTTCAATTTCTGTTAGACTCAAACACAATACTGCTCTTTTTATTCTGTCATAACCAACCCTGCACATAACAAACACACATATACTTTTTTTCTGTATCTTAATGTTGAATGATTGTTTTCTTACTGCTCTATGTGTTTTGACATTATTATCTAAATTAGGGCTCTTTGCAACATTTGCACAGTTCTTACATTTAACCAATCTGTTCACCTAAACATTCTGTCCATGCATGGTCACAGATGAAACAGGTAAGATTTTTGCTGCTATCCAGAACAATGCGGTTTAATGGGATTTCATTTAGGGTGCCCATATTGATAACATTAGAGAGAGAGAGAGAGATCATTTTGTCTTGTATTTTTCAGAATTTGTGTACTTTGCTTCTAGAAAGACCGATTTATCCTACTGCTGAAACACTTTCAGAAATTAGAGCACCAAAGATTACCTTTAGTAGCAGACCTCTCTGCAACACATCTCAAAACATGGACAAATAACATGTTTTTGTAAGGTTAGAAAAGTGCTAGTCTGCGGTAAGACTTAAAAAATAATCAAATTTCAATGAAGCTTCAATGTGGCTCTGACCTCAGTTACTATTCTGAAATCATTAACAATGCAAGAGTTGGGCACCTGAACCACTTCCTCTACTGAGATTCATCCACTAACCTGTTATCTATCTAGGTTTATTAATTTACGATACAACAACTTGCAGTCATTTCCAAACTTGCAGTGGCCTTTGCAACAGCAAACTTAACTAAATGCTTCCTTGGGCATACATGTGAGTCACTGGGTTTGCAAGATATTATCTAATCTATATGAAACATGTAACATTTACCAAACATTTACCAAATAGATCACAAACATAACTGAAATGCTATAAAGTCTTTATTGATGTGTAACATAGTAAATTTTGAAAGGAAATGCTTGCATGTTGACAATGCTTGAAACAAGTGTCAGATGGAGTACATTTAAACACTCAAGTGGCAGCCAACGTGAAGCAAACTTCTTTGGTTTATGTGGTTAACAGGCTAAAAAGTCAAAACAAAGATATTAAACACAATATCACTACCTAACAATGCTGTAGGTAGCTGGTGTTTGAACTTTTTAACAAACAATGGTTCTCACGTCCTCACATATTAGTCAAATTTAACAGTGATTTAAAAAAAAAAAAATGTGTACACACATTCACATCTAGATAATTATGTCTAGATATTTTTTTAACATTAGCAAATAGAGATTTTGACCAAAACAAACAAACAAAAAAAAAAAAAATACATGAATAGGCAGAAATACCTCAAAGCCAAACACATTTTAATGTCTACATTATACAGAATGTACACAAGCCTATTGTTTGATCTTTGTTCAGTAATGTGATTTATACAAAGAACAATTAAAAAGAAAAAATCCTCAGCATGACTAAGCACATTTAATATAAACAGGTTAGAGGTGCTTTAAAATGATTGATGTCTAATTACTTATTTTCCCCTTAAAGAGCCAATTGGACAAACTGGCAACTTATATAACAAAGTAAGCATTTGGAAAACTTGAAGTGCAATACTTTGTCAAGTACTGCAAAAATTATTTGTTATACCACATGCATGGTATGTCTCTTGTATTTAAGAGACCCCAATAAAGAGATTTTCCTGCATAGTTTAGATACAATAGTGGGCACCATACTTTGAATTAAGTCAAGAATCTATAGTGTGGAAACAAACTAACATTTTCCAAACCTGCAGTGTCAGCATTTAGTATGCATTTCAATTGTCATGGTCTATCGCACTGCAGACCCTCACAATCTGAAAACCTTTCTAACGCCTTGCACATATGCATAAACCAAAATTTACTTTATCATCATTTCCAACAAGTCTTTTTCCAACACCCCCACATGCGCCCCTCCACTTCGAGCTCATGTTGAAGAGCCTCTACAAGGGCGAACACATGTGGCTCCAGACAGCCTTTTCCTCTACACACCATTTCAGCAAGGAGGCCAAGATCATGAAAAATGGGCTAAGCAGGAGTCATCTGTCAAACCTAGGAATGCTGTCCTCTGCCTGTATCGACTTCTGTGACCTCTCTAATGTCTGCATCCCTGGCACCTGGTATCACCTGCTCAATTATTTTTAGGGAGTCACAGCATCAGTCACGTGTAACTAAGGCTGGTAAGGCACTAACAATTTGCAACAAGTGGAAGGTCACTGTATAGAAACCTTCAGGCATGACTTCCAGCACAAATTTGATTGTGTATTTACATTTGTATTACTTGAAACTTTGTCTTTATGTAGTTGGTATCAAACCTCGAGTATGCCCCATAAAGTGACAGCTACAAGGAGTTCCTCAAAAGAGAATCTAACTTGATGCATGTTTTACGATCACTCTTATCAACAACAAAATAGGACCACTCACACCAGCTTGTGCAAGGTAACAGAGTATGTGTGTAACTGTATCTAGATAAGGGGAGCTTTAGTGAATGTGCCCTGGTAAATGTATTTGAGATGGTTTTAGTTTTTAACATAAGAAACATGAGTAAACAGTTCCCCATGCAAGCTGTGGATGTCTGAAAGAAAAGGACAGCTTAGAAAACACCTTATATAGTAAATACATTTACTGTTAAGTGTACACCCTCAAGGCAGTTTTATAAAGTTACAGTTTTGCATATACTGTAAGCTGTAAATACCTATAGAGTAGAGTGTCTCATGTAGAAAATGACAAAATACTTTCTGTACAAAAACATACAAAGTTGCCCTGCAGAAAAGACAAAGGGCTGTAAAAGAGACAGTTATGCTGTGAGTATTAAAACCTATTAGGTTGTTTGTGTCAATAATAAACCTTTCTCTCCACCTAGACTAGCTTCTATCCTCTAGTGAAGTCCTTCATTTGTGTCAATGTGACTCAAGCCAATCATGTTTTTTTCCTCCCTCATTCTAGTAGCATCAAGTAAATGTGATGCACAAGAACATTTGGACTAGTTCAGTGCTATTGTACTTTTCAATGACTAAAAAGTTAATTGTAAATGTTTACATTATTTTGTATATACCACATGCAACTCATAGTATACTCTAGGTAGATCATCAGTGATAAGGCTGGAAATAAGAAATTTGATCTCACTTGGGAAGTAACAAACAAGCGAAGGACGGGAGACAAGACACAGCCACTCAGACTATAAAACAGCCTACAATCACCTGTTAGTTAAGATCAGGCCTTTGTCAACACAGGTTTAGTAAAACAGCCTCCGCTTCACTACAAGACACCCCAGGAGATTGTCAGTGAAAACCCAGAAACACCCCATTCCATTTCTTGCACAACCTGGCAACACACTGCCTCAACAGGCTGCAGGCAGCCCCGGTTTGCCAAAGATTTACTCTTTTTTACAAAAAAGCACAAAGCACAAAGAGGCTATTTTTCAGGGGAGAAGACTGGTCAAGAGACAGGCTAACACAGCCAGAGGGGAGAGAGCTGGCCCAGTGCCCTGGAGATGTGCTGATACTGAAGTGTTGGGCACCAGTTGATGGGAGTGAGTTATGGTCCACTGATGTTATGTTGCTTTCTTTGCACCACCCAAGTACAGGGTTTAGGAAGCAGTCCTAGTATGTTGCACAGTGAGGTATAGCTGTTAACCTAGCTGTTTATGTAGACTGTGTCAAGGTTTTTAGACTTGGCTAGTGATAATCAAAGACAGTGTTGTAGGAAAGGTCCAAGGATGGATTACCTTAAAAAACAGAGTATGTTTCTATTGTATCTATGCATTTATGACAATAACACATGGGTGTTTAGAACAGAGGGATAATTTGTGCCTGCTGGCTGTTCATGAATGTAGACATCTAAGAAAGAAAAGAAAAGAGAAAATATGATGCTCAAAAATCTAATCATATTAAGACACTTCAATATGAGCATCTGCTGCTATCTCAACAGGGCTTTTGTGTTTCCCTTCTTCTTCTTCTTCCTCCCCTTCTTCCTCCTCGCCAACATCTTCATCATGCTCTGGAACTGCCAGCTCAGCAGAGCGACCACCATTAATCTTACATTCCATGCTTGGTGCTTCTCCATTGACTGCCAGATCTGCCTTCATGGCCTCTGGGGTGAGGTCTGGGTTCAGCTTCTCCTGAATCTCCTCCACAGCAACTTCATGTGTGTGCACCTCTGCCAAGGGGCGCTCACCATCCAAGCCTCCCAGGGCAGGAATCTCAACATGGGCTTCTTCCTCAGGTGGGCCAGTGTCATGTGAGGAAGCATCTCCATCTCTGACCTTCTTTACATTGAAGGTCATGGGAGACACCTTGAATGAGGAGGTCTTGGAAGATGGACTCTTGGGGTGGTTGGGGCTGAAGCTTTTCCTGATTTTCTCACGCTTTTCCGGTGGCACGATCTTGGTGGTGATTTGGGTCATCTTCTTCTCAATGCTCTGACGAGAAAAGGCCTTCTTCAGGCTATCAACCTTCTTCAGGCTGGAGCGCTTGAATTTGTCAGCCCTTCTTTCAAATAAGTGGGAAGCACCCACATCCCCTGTGGCCACACCCTCCAGAAGATCTTCTTCCACTCGGCCTGCTGCAAGATCATCATCCTCATCTGAGGACAGGCTAATGGTCTGGAGACCCTCCTCTTGGGCACGGGAGCCATCTACAGAGCCTGTGACAGATGGGGCAGGCCGAGTGGATTCTGCATCATACTGGCTTGGTTGTGGAGTCTTCAGGGAGTCCTTGACTAGCACACTGGAGGGGATCTCATTGTCTTCCTAAGGAGAAAAAAAAAGGGAAACAAGTAGAAGGTTAAAAGGATCTGGATGTGTAATAAACATGACTGCTTGAACCAGGCTTTAGTTTAATAAGAAATACAAGGGCCCTAAAATAACACTGATGTTCCTAATTTGATGTAGATTGTAGTAAAATTCTGGGACTTCATGACCTTAACTAATGTAATTTAACTACAGACTATTTATAAAGATGGACGGCACATCATCACTTCCTGCCACTATGCAAAAGTGAAGCAAAATATTGCAAATACAGTGGATGTCATCTTGCTTTTGTGGCACACTTTGCAACCAGACTGCAGTAGTGACAAAACGTGGAGCAGCAGTATCAGGCCATCAATCAAAGCGCCAGATCTTCCAAAATGCACCCTCTTTTTTATCTTTTAATAACTTACTTAAAACAAATTTTCACAAATTTGACGACTTGTACAAAAAACTGTGTAGTATCTACCTAAGATGACCTCTGGGAAAATTTGTGTTTGAGTTGGCCTTAAGTTCCATCTACTAACCTGGAGGAGGAGGGGTTTATGACCTATACTACAACCAGCCACCAGGAGGCGATCCATTTCTGGGAGCTGTCATGTTGTCCATCTTTATATACAATCTACAGTTTTAACACGTGTTCACCATCCTTCTTTCAACTGGCTATGGTCAGAACTAAGGCAGCTTTCCAAGCTCCAGTGCCTTCTGAGGAATTCTTGACCATGATAATCAAAGTCAAGATATTTCAAGGGTACTTCCAAAAAAATTCCACATCACCTCATTAATGTATACTTCTGGCCATGGTATGTAAAAGATGTTGGTGTTTAATAAAGTCTGACATGTTGGACTACTGAGGAAACCAGTCTCTACATGCCCCCCCAGTCCTCTCCTCAAGACATCTGAGGAATTCTGCCTACCTGTTTCTCTGCAGGAGTCACATACCTCTCTCTTTTCTGTTTTTCATCCCCGTCTGCCTTTAACATTCCCCATCCACGAACATATTGATAACCACAGGGAGACAGAGAGCAATAAGCTCCATATCCAGGGTTTCGATTTGTTTAAACTACTCATTTCTATGTTTCAGTTTCTTTCCTTCCCTGTTGACTGGCTGCCTACCAATCTGTGCACAATCACACAACATTCCACTCTGATGGGGATTTATGAGCTAGAGTTTGCACCACATATTGCCCATCTTTTCATACCCAAGAGTGAGTGGAGAGTAAAGTGCAGCTTCAGCGGCTGAGCTACTCCACTACACATCTGAAATACTCATGACGAAACTCACTCAGTGACATCAGCTACAAGTATCACCAGTGGAGTCTTGGTTTTGAATTGATTTGACACTTGCAGATATATAGCACATTGTTATGTTTTAAAGTTCATCTATAAAAGTGTGGGTTAATTAACATGCATACTGGAATAGACTCCAGTTTGTAGACGCATCTCAAGGGCAATTAAAGCAAACAGGATGCACATGACCATAATTCCGAGCGCCACAGCGAAAGGTCTGAACAGTTTTTTTATGTAAGATTTCCGTTTTTAATTTTTAATAAACTTGCTAAAATGTCTAAAAACATGTTTTCACCTTGTCATAAATTTGTGCATAATAAATTGTGAAAAAATTATTAAATAAATAAGGGGTCTGAATACTTTCGGAAGCTACCGTATGCCTGCAATCTGTCTGACAATGGCATTGTCACTTAAATGAAGCCAATTTTGACAAGCTGTTTATTTTTTGAAGTTGATTAAATGTGTGAAATGATGAATATCTGTGACAATTCTATAATATATAGTGCAGCATAGTGTAGTACAGAGAGCTATGAGGCAGTGAATGTGCACAAAAAGAGAATAACCCAGGGAGAATTACTCCCTCGGTGATTAAAAAGTATCAGACTTTAGAAGATTCAGTCAAATTCAAGGAAACATCAAAATGCATTTCATTTACATGAGCATCTCTAGCGTTTATGTCACTTTCTACATTTCCTAACTTCCTGGCAGTTGAAACCGCTTTAACCTAATCTGATCCACAGCAGTTCACAGCACTCCATTTAGACACCTAAACAATTTCATAGTACAAAAGGCAGCTCTAAAGAAGTGGAAAGCTATGCAAAGCCCCCCTGTTGTTACCACTTTGCAGACACCTGATAGCTCTTGCCTTGATCTCAAACATGCAGGCATGATTTGCAGGTAGGTGTGTGCCAAGCACGCCTGGTATCTCCAAATTCACACTAATAAATCTGTCTGCATGTTCTTAAAAGGTACAACATCAAGCTTAAGAACAGACACATTTTCCAGGGTAAAGAAGAAAAGAAAAACCAAATGTTTCACATTATACAGCCAAATATAAAGCAAAGTGGGGTTGGTATGTCACATATGCTGGTCTTCTTCTAACATCAGTTGTAAATACAGTAATTTTCTAAGGTTTTTCATTATAGTCAACACTTAAAAAACATCAGAAAGCTGCTTTTATGTGTATGTGGACAATTTCTGAATTTGTATTTACCACAAAAAGTATGTAATTCACCCCCAAAAAGACCCAGGAGTCATGATGCACCGGGGGTATTTGTAACTCAACATTCAAAAAGACAAAAGGTAGCACCTTGGGGAACAGTTCTGGTTACCACTACCTCTCATTTGGTTTAACTGGATTCCCTCTCTTTCAGTTTTGTTATCTGTAGCTCCCCTCCTGTCATGTCTGAATGAGCAGCCGCTGAATGCCCTGACACTGCACCACACCCACAGAGACTGTGTTCATCTGATCGCGTCTGTGCAAAATCAAATCAGACAGTAAGAGACTATGTGAATGATGATTTTAGATTGAACACAGGGGTTATGGAGAAGCACCAGAAAACTTGCTTCTAGTATAAATCACTTCAGATTTTATGGCCATCTCCCTTTTCCAGGTGTACATTTCAGATAGTGTTATGATCAACATGTGTGAAATAGCTTCAAGTTTAAGCATGCATCTAAATTTGACCCATCATTATAAAAACATCAGAGCCAACATGGCCTCTCCTGACCCACAGTGGAGCATTCCCTGATAAGAAAGACTAATCTTCCCTGAATATTTGATGGTGTTAGGGTTTCTAAAAAGTCTGTCCTAACAGCTCTGCTCCAGTCTGGGCATGCCACTCTGTTTTGGCTCAAACATGTTTGATATAATCAGTGTGGGTACCGGGGTGTGTAAGAGGCAGCAACTATCTCAAACACCCTATAACGAGAGCCGAGCTCTCCAAATACTTACAGTATACTTTTTCACTCTTCCTTTTTTGGTTTTTACTCATGAACACGTGACTGCTGGTCATGTGTTTGACTACAAAAACAGTAAAAGAGTGTGAAAGGTTTTTACTCTCTAATAATAATAATAATAATAATAACAGAAAGGACTAGACCTTACTTAAGTATCTTGAGATTACTTTTGTTGTGGTTTGGCACTATACAAATAAAACTGAATTGAACTGAAGTGAAATGAAATGAGTGCATCTCTAGTTTAACCTTAACCTTTCAGCAATCTCGGCAAGCAAGATATAACAAACATTTTCCTAAATAGCCAGGTCTGTCCTTTGTGTGTTCGTGGACCTCACATTCTGGCACTTCTCTCTTGGGAACACTGTTAATTAATATACCCTTCAAGCCAGCACTCATGGCTTGAATGGCTATTTATTTATGTGCAGCCATGTAGCACGTTGGCTAATGTTAAAGAAGAACTGTTTGAGAGTGAGATGGAAAAAAATAAAATAAAATTAATTCAGAGCAAACCAATAAAACAAAGTTAATTTATTGTGACAAGCGAGTTTACTGCACATTAAAGGGCTCACACTACAAAGATATTTTGTTCTAATGTCTATGTAATAGAGTTCAAGATCTCATTAACAGTTGGTTGGTATAACTGCCAACTAATTGTAAATCCTGCAAGGTGTTGCTAAGCCAGAGATTATACAAGTCAGTTCTCTCTATTCAAACAGAAAGATCAGGGGAGGCAGGATGGAGTCGCAACCGATTAAAAGCTCAGATGGGTTCATGTTACTTTGTGAGTGCGAGTTTCTGTGTAATGATACTTTATAATGCAAGTTTCTTTTGTAACCCTTATCCTTCCTTTTTTGTATGTATACAGGTGTCTGCACATATTTGCTATTTATACTGTACATAATTACAGCTGGGCGATATAGACACCCATACACAAATGTGGAGAAAAGCACCACTCAGCCTCAGCTGGTGTTTTAGAGCTGACAAATGTTAGCATGCTAACACTCTGAGCAAAGGTGAACACACAAACCATGTATACAGGCGTCTGCACATAATTACAGCCGGGCGATATAGACACCCATACACAAAGGTGTAGAAAAGCACCACTCAGCCTCAGCTGGTGTTTTAGAGCTGACAAATGTTAGCATGCTAACACTCTGAACAAAGGTGAACACACAAACAAAACAAAGCTACCAACATGAATACTGTACGTCTATGCTGTGTATTGTAGTTATTCAATGATATGTGCAATATGTGTTTGAGTGTGTGTAGGCAGGTGTGTTTTCCTGGTTCTGCAGATGATGAATGTGGGTTTCTTAATCCTAATAGTAAAGGTTGATGCAGGTGTGTTGGTACAATGAGTCAGTTGCCTCCAGGAGACTGCACCAATAAATGGGTATGTGAGCACACCACAGAAAAGTCATCACATACACACACACAGAGGGAAATGCATGTGTTCACATTTGCTGTCATCAAGTCCTTGCAGCTGTTCTGTTACAGAATGAGGAATAATAGGAAGTTTAGCTTATAAAACTGGGAGAAACAAGTTTGCAGATAAACCAAATAATCAAGAATGTGTAGCTTCAGATAACTTTGCAATGATTGTTATCAATGGTATTTTTTGTAATGCGCATTTCAAAGGGCAAAAAACAAAGTTCTGGTCTTGAATATTCCCCTTTTTCTTCTCTTAATTTACCCCTACTTACTCTTTATTCTCTCTTGTTTGCCCATGGGCAACCTGACAACATAATGACTCT